TTCAAAGAAGGGGAGGGGGACAAGGACCCCTGAGCAAAGTGGGAACACGGTGGGGGTAGGAAGAAGGTGGGAAGGAAAGAAGGGGAGGGGAGAGGAGAACAAGAGGACTGAGACAGGGGAGGAATAAAGGAGGGCAAGAAAGGAGATGCCTTGATAGAGGAAGACAGTACAGGTTTGGAGCGAGGTCTGGCACAGGGGAAATGTTAGGGGATCCACAGGGATGACCCCAACTAAGAATCCAGGCAGTGGTGGGGAGGCTGCCTTTGATGCCCTTCCCCTATAATGAGACTGATGTCTACCTTGGTTACCATTCCTAGAGCCTTCATCCAGTAGCTGTTTGAAGCAGAAACAGGCACCCGCAACTAAGCACTGAACCACTCCTGGAATCCAGTTGTGGAGAGGGAGGAGGGATGAGCAAAGGAGCCAAGATGGTGCTGGAGAAACCTGCAGAAACAGTTGACCTGACCTACTGAGAGCATGGAGACCCTAGTCATAAAGCTGTGGAAACAGCATTGGACTGAACCAAGCCCTCTAAATGTGAGTGCCAGCTAGGAGGCCAAGTGGAGCCAGTCTTTATCCCAAGAGTGCAAATGGACTTTGAGAGTCCATTCCTTATGTAGGGATACTATTGCAGCCCAGATACAGCAAGGAGGGCCTAGGTCCTCCCCAAATGATATGACAGACTTTGAGGTCCCCCATGGAGGGCCTCACTATCCCTGGGAAGGAGTTGGGGGATGGGTTGGGGGAAGTTGGTAGGGAACATGGGAGGATGGAAGGGATAGATATGTAAATATGAGTACTAATTAGATAATTTAAATAAAAAAACAAAAAAATATCAAATTGGGATGTGGATCCATTAATCATAAGGATAAAAATGTGTAATATACAATATATATGACTTGATACTAAGTTTGCTTTATAAGCATATCATGTCACTTGAATAAACAAAAGCTAAAACTTATACATATTGATTTGGAATGGCCTATGGAAGACAAATCCACACAGAATTTACAGAATTCTAATCAGAGAGCCAGTGCTCAGTAACCAAAAATATGTCATTTATCATGTGGTACATATTTATAAGTTTTCAAATAAATTAAAATGCTTAATACTATGTTTGTTTTCAGTAAAAATAAAATAGTTCACAGTCTGTACTTCTAGAGGACCTGAGTTTGTTTGCCAGGACCTATGTCAGATGTCAGATGGTTCACAGCCTGTTATAACTCTACTTCTAATGGACCCAATGTCTCTGGCCGTATATATCAACAAAATTAAATGGAGTTAGTGAATACACACACACACACACACACACACACACACACACACACACACACGGAGATATACATATAATTTTAAATAAATCTTTGGGCAGGAGAAATGACCAGCAGTTAAGAGCACTGATTGCTCTTCCAGAGGATCCATTTGGATTCCCAGCACCTACTTGATGGTTCTCAACTATCTGTAATCCCAGTTCCCAGGAATCCAGTGCCTTCTTCTGATCTCTATGGACACAGGCACACAAGTAGTGCATAGACATATATTCATGCAAAACACTCACACATATAAAATAAAATAAGAATTGTTTCAATACATAATTAATGGTAGTTTTTTACCTTAGCCTAGTTTCAGTTAAGCAACTAAAGATGTGTATGATGTTTCATTCTGTTAAAAAGCACATCAAAATCTAATTCTCAATATTAACTGTGCCTGAAAATATTTTGTGGGCCTTTTTGTAAAATGCCATTTTCTGGGCCTTATCCCTGCATATTTTGATCCTCTGATACTGGAATGAGGCTAAAACTCACTAAGAACCACTAGCCTGTTAATAGTGGACACTCAAAAAACTAATATAAAAGAGCAAAACAACACATTTGCTTTTCAGAATGTTCATAGAATAAAGGCAGCAACATTTTAAAAAGTGAAGAGAGGCAGTGGTCAGAACTGGTCTCATAGAGGTGCTCTCTAAAAAAATGTGGTAAAGACTAACTGAGGGTTCTCCAGTTATACATGTTAAAGGTGAAGAGATGATCTAAATGAAGTCAAAGAATGGGAAGAAGCATTAGATAGATGACAACATGATGCTTTGGAGCAATACAATATGCCTAAGGAACCAAGAAAATAAATGAGTAGGAAGGTAAATAGGATACCTTTCTGATGAGAAATGTAAGAAAATCAAGATTAAAATTTATCATATAAAGCAGTGTTTTCAAGTTGAGTTTCACAGAACTCATATTTAGGAAAGTTAGTGTATGTTGCAAGTAGCTGAGTAAGATGGCATTCAAATGCACACACTGTACTTAAAACAGGTTATAATAAAATGATGGATTAGCCTGCTTCTCTGATCTTGAGCATTTTTTTTCATTTATTATATAGAGTTTAGCTTGACATTTTTTAGGGGTAACAAATGCTTATACCTGCCTATGGACAGTATTATACAAAAACACAAAATACAAAAAAATTGATTGGCTATATAATTTGCTATATAATTCATCAAATAAATTTAACCAATAAAACATTACATTGGTTTGTCTTAATCAATTTTACTGGAGTTGGAACAAGATTTTTGTTTCTGGAGAACTACTGCTCTATGGAAACTAACATAGAATTTGTCCCAGGAAAATCATATTGCATTTGGTAATAACATTAGTACAACAAAATGAAGCATAATAAGGTAAAATAAGAAGTGAGGGAATCAGAATGTATTTTCAAGATACAAATCAAGAAAATAAGATGAAATGAACAAGTACTGGGGATAGAAATAGCATAAAATTCAGAAATACAAAGGAAATAGGATTTGATTATTCATCAGATAGGAAGGGAGGGACTTGGTTCAGAAAAACAGAATCTAGATTTCCAGTTCAATTTTAGCCATGATGAAAAGGTAAATGTACCCAGAAGGTACCGACTTCTTACTATTCAGAATAGAGTGTTCTATGCACATTTAATCAGAAAGTCTAAATGAAGTCCTCATTTCAATAAAAGCTCTAATTTTGGATTTCCTTAATCTATTTTATATATCCATGATAGACTATGTTACCTATAATATAGTTACATAATCCCTTCTCA